GAGAAAGTATATAATAAATGGCTTTTCAGTTGATACGCAATTCATACAAAACGACCGCGTAGCATCCGGTTGTCAGCGCCATCGGAGAACCCGGAACACATTGAATTTTCTTTTATGGAAATATTCAACATAAACGTTTCAAGTTTTTAATGTCACTATTAAATCAAATGAGGAAATGAATGAAATCAACAATTTAACTATTAAAATCAAATGAGAAAACTTCATTTCCTACGATATCATACACCTAAATTGCCATTTATTATTTTAATTATCCTATGCATCACTATTCATGAAGTACCCATGTAAATATCCCATCAATCGACAGATTACGTGTTCATGGTCCTCAAGTAATAACCCCATGAACAAATTATCTTTTCATAGACTGATAAAACCTATTGTTTGTATAAATCATAATCCCTAACATCGCGTCCGTCAATCAACATCTTAGAATTATTATATAATCAAATTCACTTAAAAATTAAAATCGAATATGAGACTACCTAAAATTTCACATTCGACTAAAATTAATACATTTGTTTTTATAGACTCTTTAATGAAAAGTCAGCTATTTTTGAAACTATTAATCGATTCTTTATACATGTACAAATACAAATGGAATATTATTCATTATATATATATATATATATAAATATATATATTTAATGTTCTAAGTTATGCAAATTTGCAATGAACATATCACAATTTTAATAATATTAAAAGATCGTGACTAACTGATTGACTAAAAATTATTATTATTATAAATATTTTAAATTTGCATTCTTAAAAAATATTTTAGCACATGTTATGTTATATACAATAGGTTATTGGTATACAACATGCCACATAATAAGGATGGTTTTTGAAATTTACAAGTAAATCACATTTCATTTATATGCCATATTAATTAAAATAGCATATGAACATCAAATTGCATGCCATATAATAAGGATAACAAATTGACTCGTCTAACTGTTAGAGGTCTTATATCAGGCTTCACGATAAGTTATGATGTTATCAAATTAATGCTTAAATAGATGAGAAAATATTATGTTGATACTTTTTAAATAAGAATATAGCAATCACTAAAGAACTTTTGTACTCTCTATAAAAAGTAAATAATAATTCATGAATTTCAATATTCAAATTTGTGCTTGTTTAATAAATGAGTCGGTTCAACCTAGGGGTGGTAAAAAATAAAAAAGGAATTGTCCCATACCGAATCAGACTAGTCGCGTTCTGGAAAACACAATTTTGAAAGATTTTTTTTAAGCACCGTTCCTCGTCGAACCCATCTATTAATATATAAACAGACAATGATATTTACTTAAAATAGTAACTAAAAATCATTGAAAAAAAATTTGGTTTCCTGTCTAAAATTTTAAATTTACTAAATTGGTTAATTTTTTTTTGCCAAAATCTAAAAAATCCCGTCTAAATGAATGTAATTAATGTATAAAATCATTTTGGTCAAATATTGCGGCTATTACCTCTATAAGTTGCATGATTTAAATTTGGTATAACTTGCGGCTATTACCTTTATTAGTTGTATGGTTCAAATTTGGTATATAATATATTTAAAAAAAATAAAAAAAAAATGTATTTAAATTGAATTATTCATGATATCTTGCGATCAATATTAACTTGGACGTAAACGAATAGTCAATTATTTATAGTTTAATAAATTACTCAATAACTTACGGGTCAATATTAACTTGGAGGTAAACAAAATAGTTAATTATTTATAGTTTAATAAATTATTCAACTACTTAATTTTTCTTATTTGAATAGTTTATACAAAAATAATTTTATTTTAATTAATGAAACAATATAAGTTTTATATTTATACTTATTACTTACATAGGTTGTTAAATATATTATAAAATTTTACAAAAATAACTATTTTATGGAATCACATTATAATCAAGTCGAATCTCTGAATAAAAATTTTGAAATGACACTTATTTTGAAACGAATATAATGTAAGTTATTATCAATTATGTACACCGCACGGGTTGTATACTAATTTTAAATAGACATTTTTATGTAATTTTGCACAATTTAAATTTATATAATATTTTCAATAAACTAATATAGCTATTTAATTTATAAATATTATTTAATAAAAATTTTAAATTTATAAATATTAATGAATATCTCTTACTCGTGCACTACACGGGATTCATACTAGTTTAAAAAAATGCATCGATTTCAAATATTTTTGCCACGGACTCCATTTGTCCCGTTTAATTCCATTCACACAAAATATTTATATATTTATATTTATACAATGTTATGAACTAATGTTATGTTTGAAAAATATTTGATGACTTTTCAGTTTTATTTTATTGAAATTTGAAATGTTGTTATTTTTTAGTCCCAAATCGCCATGACACCGAATCATTTTGTCCCGGTCCTGAATGATACCAGTCTATTTGGGACGATGTCTCCTTTCAAACCGTTCCCGAACCGATTCATAAATTAAGGTAAGAAGGTACCGGGACAAACTAAATTCCATTTTGTGTCGGACCGTGCCCACCCCTAATTTTGACTCCAGTAGTCTAATAATCAACAAAAAATATGAATTCGAGCTTGGCTCGTGTAAGCTCACCTCGATTTAATTTGCTTAACAAATTTTAAACCAAAACCCAAAATCATAAATCCCTAACTATAACTAACTCATTTGCAAATACATTTGGCTCAACTTGTTAAAAAACAAGTTCAATTAGTTTTTATGATTTGGCTCATTAAGTATACAAATGAGTCAAACTCAAACTTTCAAAAGCTATTAATCGAGAATGAGTTTTCCATTGAAATTTTAGATGGAATTTGATGATTCCAGCGGCTATTTTTTCAACGGTTTTTTACCATTGAAATATGCAATTTTCATAACCCCGTTGAAAAATCTATCGCTGGAATCGCCGAAATCCAATAAAAATTTCAATAGAAAACTCATTCCAACGGAATATTTTTGTTGAAATTTCCGTTAGAATTCATTGAAAAATTTCAACGGAAATAATAGTATTGGAATATCTATTTGAATTACCGTGGGAATTCCATTAGAATTGCCGTTGAAATTCAATTGAAATATACTTTCGTTGGAATTTTCATGATTTTCTTGTGGTGCCATCCAACCAACAAAAGCCAACAAAATTACTACCGCTATTGTATTCCTCCAATAAAACACCTGTAATAACTAAATCAACATATAAAGACAATAACGATAAAAAAAAAACATATAAAGACAATATGAATAGAAACACTTGAAACCATCTCGCGTTCAGCATGTACAGCATTCGAGATATACATCTTCTTTCTTCTTTCACATAAATAATTACAAGCAGAGAGAGGACACTATTGTCTTTCCCACAACAACAAAAGAATATAGTACAATACCAAGCGAAATTTCCCAAAAAGCCCCTTAGTTAAAACCCACCCATTCTCACTTGCCATTTGGGCCGGGTTTAGCGAACGAGAAGTCATCCTCATTCCTCGTCTCGTCCACATTACTAACTGGGCCAATGGGCTCATTTGCTTCGGCCCGAATAATCAAGCTGGTGGTGGGCTTGGGGGGCGTGGCCGGGTCCTCGATATCCGATGCGTAGAGATCGTCATCAGGCCCAACCGACCGGCCCGAATGGCCCGTTGTTTTGAAACGGTGTAGGGTTGGGTGGAAAGGGGAGCCCATTGAGGATGTTGGGCTCGCGGCCCCACCAAGGGTCCGGGTAGGGGACCTCCCTCCATGCCCACCGTGCTTCTTTTTCACGGCCATGTGCCATTTCTTGAGGGCCTTGGAGGTTTGCTCGTCAAATATCGATTTCTTCATGTTCGACCCCATCTGTATTGTAATTTACCATCAGGATTTTGAATTTATATTAAAATGATATTTTAAATAAAATAATTAAAACTGATCTGATATAAAAGCATGACAGAGATGACGTGAAATGATAGTTTAGACTATGTTTGGTAGACAAATAAGCTAGCTTATAGCTTATCTAGTTAGCTTATAAGATTCTTGTATTTAAATGAGTTTCGTTTGGTACGACGAGCTTATTTCATAAGCTTCTTTAAGTAGTTTTTCAAATAAGCTTATTTCAGCTAGTTTATCAGCTAATTTTACTAAACACTTTTATCATATAAGCTAGCTTTTCAGCTATAAGTCATAAGCTATAAGCTCGAAAATTACTGATAAGCTATAAGCTAGCTTATCAGCTATCAATTAGCTTATCAGTTAGTTTTACCAAACATAGCCTTAGTTAAAATTATGTGAGTGGATGAATAGTGGATTAAAGCTGATGTGAGGTGTAAGATTGATTTGATTAATATTGTTTAGTTATATTGATAATACTGAAAATACTTGCGTTTATTTATGAACAAACACACTATACATTTGTAAGTACAAAAATTTACTTCTATAGATTGATTTAGGATTATATGATGTTAGCTAGCAACAAAGAGAGCACCAAGAGGGACTACAAAGATCGAGTTGCTACCTGAGCAATCAATGCGTAAAGAGGAAGTGTAATGTAGCTGCATAAGAATAGGACTCCAAACCTGTAACATGACAAAAAAACATGTTTAAGCAAATGAAAACTTATATAAACATTGGCTGTTTTTGCAAGAGTGAACGGATGTGAAGTGAGAATTTACCCAAAACCAATTTTCCCGAGGATCATTCCTAAATTGTCGTGGAAGCAAGATCGTAAACCGAACTCGTACTGCATTATAAAGAGAACAAAAAAAATTACTCATGATGATAATTAGGGGAATTAATAGTATGGATACACACGGAATGAAGGATCTTATTACCCAAATCCACAAGAAGTACGTCACTTGGAAAGCATTCTGTATGATAATAAAAAATAATTAGCGTACAGACACATATATTCAAATAATGCAAACGAGAAGTAACAAAAACGAGCTCAAGAGCCATAAAAGAATATCAAATACCTGAAACAATGCAAAGTGTATGAGATAGAGAACCAACTGTGGCCGAGCAAACCAGAAGTATTTGTCAGAGCCTTGCACGAGAGGTATACCTTGAACTACAGCATGCCTCTCGGTTATCTCAAGGGCCATTCTCGTCAAGATAGCTTGTAGCTTTGTGCCAACGGCTAAGACTAACTGAAAAACACATATCTCGACGTCAGGTTTATTTATTTAATATTAATTATCTGAAAATCGTATCAGTGAAGAGGATCTTACAATCAAAGGAATTAAGGAGGCCCAAAACAGTGTCTGCCACCCTGATTTGGATCAATGTACAAGAGACTATTTTAGACACCAAAATTGTGTTTCGAAAAGAAAAAATAAAAATAAAAACTCTTGAGAATATGAACAGACTAACCGTGAACGTTTAGGAGCAAGAACACTACAAACGATCCCCACAAGACAGGACTGCCATCATAGGAACAAAGTCGAAAAGCAAAATCAGCCATGTAATTATGGAGATTAAATTAAGGCATAAAACTATGGATTTTGAGTAACAAATCTTACCTTACTCCCACAACCGTCTTAAAGTCATCCTCTAGGGACCTTTTGATGTATTTTTGGAAGTTAAACTTGCTTCCAGGTGCCAAATGAACCTAAAAACAGCCAGATATTTTAGTAAATACCGAAAGAGAAGAATGACAACCGGATAATAAAAACTTTATATATATAAAAAAAAAAAAGGATGTAATGATGACAACTCACACTTATAAACCCATTGCGCAAGGTTAGGTAATCCGACTTGCTCACGGACCTAAAGAATTGCCGAAAAAAGCATCCCTACATAAAATTACTATTTTAGTAACACGAAACTATAAATAACATGAAACTATAAACAATATCACTAGACAAAACAAGAATTGGGAAAGACAAAAAAACTAAAATTCTCACAATATAAAAGAAAAGTGGAACCCGAGTCCAGAAACTAGTGTGCGCCCTCACAAAAGATGTCTCGTGAGTCAGCCTGAATCTCGAAGGATCTGTCAAGGTCCATGATTAGATTGCTATGTGCAACTTTTAGAGGATAGTTAATTAGCAGCTAAATCAAGATTGTGAGTCATCATTATACCGTTTGAAAATTCGTAATCCTGAGATGCAGTCTCCAGTTCCCACTGCTTCCACCCACGAATCTAAACATCATAGTTAAGCGGATCATTAAATTCCACAAAAGGAGACAAGAAAAACATTTTTATAGACGGCAAACGATATATTAGACACTCATAACTAACTATGTACCTTCAGTCTTCCAAGAGCCATAGTAAGAGCACTGTAGATCACATGAAACACTGCTAAAAAGAATATAAGGATATGAATTTGGTGCAGCCCATCTACTGTTATAAGTGGTACTGTCCCCTGTGTAAAATGTAAAAACATCTTGTTACAAAAGAAAAAAATAAAAGTGAAAGCAAATCGAATAAAGATATGAATGAACAAGGCTGAACAAGAAAGAAAGAATAATTTACCTCCTTGCAAGTTTTATACCCACCACCAGCTAAAACCCTACGCTCGTAAGACAATAGCCTACGCCTACGTTCTTCCTTAGCATTGTCTTTCGCACGACAAGGCAACATTGTATTACCAACATTGTCGGGAATGCAGATTTCGGCAATGTAATATTGACAGAACACAAGTGAGAGTGAGATGAAACCGAGAATCATCAGCTCTGCAAAAAAAACCAAAACACAAGCAAATTATTATTAATCAAAGGACATTTTTACTTCTTTCTCAAATAGGAAATGATGTAACTAATAAGCAATCATTTAATTACCGGCTTTGACCTTCTCCAATGCCTCGTAAAGCGCTTTCTTATGCCTATCGGTTAACCACTACAAAAGATTTCAATGTGAAATTAGGGGCATTATAATGAATTCAGAATCGCATTGTACAACTAAACGGAAATAAATATGGCCATTCTAGAATAGAACTAAACAAAGGTATGTAAGTCATCTTTCTAGCATGCTTAGGTTGAGTGACCTGACTTAATAGAAATGATTTGATAGATAAGAACATTCAAATAATTCTCACACACCACCCAAAAAATTGCATTGAAAATAAAATGGAAACAATTATGATCAGCAAAGGCCAGTAGCCATACAATTTGGATAAAGATCTTCATAGGGTCTGCAAATATAAGAGAGATGTATTTGAACTAATTTCTAGTGCAATATTATTGGTCAGATTTTCTTTTCATTTTTCATGGAACCTTTTAGGTCAGGAAATTAAGAATTATCAAGATTTCTGAGTCAATAACACTATGTTAAACAAGAATTCAACCCGACCACAGAAAATTACTCATATCAACATAAACCATCGCAAACAAGAAGCTAATTAGGCCAAACATAAGTAAATAACAAAACACAAGAGAAAAACCAACGAATGAACCCAAAACAAAATCGTACAAACAAATCAACATAGAATCAAGAGAAATACGAAACAATAGCAGAAGCGAGACAACAATTTACTCAAACGATGTCTGGTCAACGAGAAGAGAACAAGAGAAGAAAAGCACAAAAACGTTACAAAATAAACATTTTTTTTTTTTGTTCTTACCGTTCCAACTTTGTGGAGAACCTTTTCTAAGACAATCGAGATGACTATAATGACCGCACACACACCGGCGACGGCCCACGTCGGGGTCTGTTCAAGAGTTCTTGTCGTTCCCCCCTTTTCGCCCGCCATTTTAAGAAAATTCAGACAAAAAACAGAGCGAAAAATTCACACAGAAAACAGAGCGAGAGATCTTTTTTTCCTCTGCAGTCAACTGTTACTGCAAAAGGGAAAAAATTAGATTGGTTCTTGTCGAGATATTTTCAGCTAACGAAGAAAAGTAACTGCGAGCGATTTTTTTGTTCTCTTTCCAAACTGCGCACACTTATAATATCTTGATTGAGGCTTAGTTGAAAGCATTTATATACTTAGAATTCCGTGTCTGCAAACTTTTCTTGAATAGTATACAAAAGTCTGTAGTTTGTGTGGGACACACATTTATTTATTAAAAGATTAAGACAGGAAACACTTTTTTATTTTCATTGTTCATTTTACCGTTTTAACATTCGGACATATTGATATCGTGCGCGTTTACTGCCCTGTTTTGAAAAGGGCGGCTTCGGAGAGTAATTCTTGTTACTCGTAGTTTAGAGCAATCCGTCATCAAGTAAACTATTTAATTTGATCAAATCAATTCTTGAGTCGATTGGGTTTGATTGAGTCAACCGGTCCGAATAATTCACATTCACCGGACTGGTACCTATTTCAAATCCTTGATGGAATATTTTTAAATTTTAGTTTAATTTTTGTCTAGCAAAATATCGAATGGACAAAATTTTGAAATTAGAATCTTTGAAACTATGAAAAATAGCTAAAATGATTTATTTCCTTCTTTTGTTTTTTCCTGAACATTATCCATGTGGCGATTTGACGTTAATATTTGCCAAAATGAAACCTGCATTAGCTAAGTAACAACAGTAATAAATGGTTGGAAAATAATTGAATAATAAAAGTCAAAAGGTGGTTGTGTTAGAAGTCAAATTGAACGAGGTAACCGCGGCGTGGAATGTTTAAGCAAAATGAAGGAGTGCGGTCAAGATTAAGAAGGCGTCAAATATGGGGTTCTAAATTTTAATACGTAGTCAATGTCAAAAGGTACGTTTCAATTATTCGCAACTTGTCCACTTGTAGTTGTGGGCTACTCTAGTTAATTCGACCTCCGTAGATATTTTTTGGCATAACAAATAATTATAATATAATAAATAATTTTTTGGGATAATCCTCCGATATATTAGTTAAGAACTTGGTGAGCTTAATTATGTGGCAGACTCACTCGTATGCTTCATAATTCTATGTGACAAAATTATATGCTTCGTTGTTAGGTTTGGGTAAATTTTAATCTACTTCCAATCTAAAAATAATTAAGTCTGAATTATCTATAAATATGTTGATTATTTATAGTCATGTTCAGCGGCGGATCCATAAATTTCATGAGCCTGGGAAAAAAATATTTGATTTTTTTTTAATCATACTGCACCAAATACTTATGTTAACAATTAAATAAATCGTGAAGAAATCGTGTCTTGAGGTGTTCCCTATTCAAATTGAGTTTGACTTAATGCTCAAAAATAAAATGGTGAATAAAGTCTGGTTATTTGATTTCACGTTTTTATTATTGTGAAAAAATATACCAAAAATATTTTATAATCACTTTTATTTTTAATAATAAATTATAAACAAGTTATTTTGAAATATAATTTATTAATTTAAGAAAACCCTAAATGTCATCATTTTTGTTTATGTTATTTTATAAAGAGTTCCTTATGTATTACCTTATTACAAGAGTTTTTCATTGTCAACTACCGGCATTTTGTAATTCTATAAGTTAATTTCTAAGGATTCAAAATAGTCCATATAAATATGGGCCTTTATCCAGAACTTTCAAATTTAAAAACTTGACTAACTTAAATTGCAAATATATTTTAAAAGTTAACAACATTTATATTTGTTATCATTTTTTATGTATGATATTCGTCATATTTTGACGATCTATAATTTGACATTTATATCGTATATATAAATTAAAAAAATATATCTATTTGATCTCTATTAATAAATATTTAAATATTTATCAATTATATATAATTGAAAAACAATACATTCATCTATCAAACCTACTATATGATATAAGTACTAAACATGTTGTAATATAAGACTGTCGAATCTGACAGGTGAGGTATATCATTTTAAATAAAAGATAATATTATTTTGTAAGAATTATTTAAAATTTTGAAATATAAATATAAATTTATATTTTTACAAATATTAAATATAATTTTTTATTTAACACATGTTAACTATATAAATTGTATAGTTAGCACAAAAAATCCAGCCTAGGCAATTGTCTAGGCTGCCCACATCTAAATCCGCCAATGGTCATGTTACATGTATTAACTGCATTTTAATATCATTTCTTATTATAATCATTGAATGGTAAATGTATTTTAATAGTTAATACGAGGTCAACACCTTGATTTTGGATCAAATGTTGTGATTTTTCTTTTTCGCATGTGAATAACAAAAGTTTGTGGTCTTGACCGCAAAATCGATCTTCGATCTTTTACGTTGGTCTTGATTTTACTAACGCAATTTAGGGGTTTTACAACTCGATGTTCTACTTGACTTAACATTGATAAATAGACAACATCTTGATTTTGGATCAAACTTTGTGATTTTCCAATAATACGAAGAACACAGTCATGCGCATGTGAAGAACAAGAGTCTGTGGTCGTCACTGCACAAAGGATCGTCGATCTTCTACATTGGTCTTGACTTTACTAATGTAATTCAGAGGCTTTATAGCTTGATTCTGGATCAAACGCTAGTCTTAACTTGAACGCACTTGAATCTTTTTCTTTAAGAACGTCTTCGAATATTTAACAACATTTTGAATCTTGTTGAAATAATTCTAAAGAGCTCTTGAACTTGAATATATTTTTTTTTTCTTGCTTTGGGTGAACCCCTATTAAAAGCCTACCAAATTTAAAAATTGTAGGCGTGATTTGATTAGTCCATTACAATTCATATATGATCTTCTAAATTACTTAAGACTTCCATGATCTTTTAAAGATAAGTGATTTATTTAAAAGAAATAAGATTTGATGCTTGGAATTATTTGATTGACCGATAATTTACATGTTAAAATATTAATTATTTACCTATTGAATATTGGAATTAAATTTATGAAAGTTCCCAATATTAAATAAAAAATATGACTTTATTCTTAGTATATTAATTTTTTCATGGCGCCATTTATTTGCTCAAAAATTTATTTTATCTACAAATGCTCCTTCAAGACTTGTTTACATATGATATGTTTCGGAGTGAATAAGTCATGATATATTTTATGGGTAAAATAAAGTGTATACTCCTGCGTTTAGCAAAATTTGCAAATATTATCAATTTTTTATTCAGTAGAATTTATTAACTAACCATTTTACCTTAAGTGACTTTATTAAGCACAAAACTTGGCAAAATTCAAATATAGATGCTTCTTAGATTCGAATCCTTATCACAAGGTGGGTAGCCATTCCCTCTAACCGTTACATCAATGCAACATACTAGATATAAAACAACAATTAGTATTCAATCCTGTGCATATACACATATATAAATAAAGTATTATAAGTATATGTATGCATATAATTTTAAAATTATAAATTAGATAATGGACTATATACTTGACCATAGTAAAAGTTAACAATAGAAGTATTTAACTACGTATGAATCACTATATGATTGTAATGTAATAAATAATGTAATTTCTGTAATTTTGAGCCATTGTGACCAATCAAATAGCTGAAAAAAAACTACTATTGTAATAATTGCTTGTGCAATTTTTAAGATATGATAATACCATTAGAATCAATTAGTTTACTTAATCAGACAATCTCTTANATTGTCATAACTAACCCTAAAATAGAGCGGGAAAAAAATTGGATAGTGAAATATTATAAAATAAAAAAATAGTGAAAGACAATAAATGATTTAAAGTAAATTTAAATAAATAAAAAATTTAAATATAATTAATTTTAATAAAAATAACATGTAATAAATAAATATCAACAAGTAAATTTATATATAAATAAAATAAAATTACATTAAATCAAATTAAATTTTGTTAAAATGATATAAAATAAAATTATTCTTTTATAATTTATATTAAAAAATAAATTTTTAAAATAAAATATTTTTTATTAATAATTATATATGGTTTTTCAAGGAATCTCCTATTAATAATATTGAAAATACAGTTCATTTATCTATTATCTTTTGATATTTTAAATAATATAAATAATTTTTTTGTCATGTATATTTTAAAATACTAACATAACTAAATTATTTACATTTTAATTTATTTAAGTATTTTAAATTATTTAATTTTATTTCATTTCATATTTAATAGACCTCTTAAATTTAATTTGAAATTAATAATTTTGTTAATATTGAAATTTTAATTTAATGTTATATTATTTTAGTTTTATTGATATTAACATTTGAAATCTAGTTTTAAGTTGACTTAAATTTATTTATATTGTGATATGAATTTAATTTTAAATTTATTTTAATTTTATTATAGAGTTTTTAAATTTAATTTTAAATTATATTTATTTTATTTGTATTTATTTTTTGACTGATTAATTTTATTTATATCAACATTTTAAATTTAAACTATTTTACTTTTATGATATTTTCAGAATTGTGAGAAATTCAATATCTCATCAATATATTGTGAAACATTTCGAGAAATATTTTTTTGAAAAAGAAAAAATAAATAACTCCGTTAGTTGCCAAATATTTATATATATAAAAAAATATTGTGCAAGGAAAACCTAAATACAAAGAGGTTTCACACATTTTATAAAATATAGGGAGACAACACGCAAGTTAAATGTAAGGGGGTTTCACTCATTTTTTTTTGGGAAATTTTTAAGCATGCTACACGATTTTAAAGTAATTGCAACATTATACTTCATACCAATTTAATTGTGTGTATACCTAATAGGCAAAAATTAATAACAATTATACCTAAAATCAGTTACAGGTAGTGGAACAACCATTCCATGTTTGTAGCGCAAGATTTCAGGAGTGAAGATGGAAAGATAATCTTCATTGATACAAATGAGAAAAAAAAAATACGCCGGCGTCGCTCTTCATTGACAGGCGCACCAGAAAAAAGAAAAAAAAAAACGCCGGCGTCTTCGAACATCTCTGGTAGCCTTCACGCGAGCCCGCAAGTAGCCCGACGAAGTGCGAAAAGCAATCGCCATCTCCACCGCCGACTCAAATCATGCTGTCGCCGTACGAATCGCTTCCCCTTGAGCCGACGGCGCCCAACCTCCACCGCCAGAGCCCGATGGATCCCGTCAGACCGCTGTTGACCAATTGATGAACT